CCAATATTTCCGGTACTATGGGACGGGAAACACAATGCCTGGCTGCTGGAGTAAACTCAATGTGAGTGGTAGGCACATACTACAGAAAGTTCTAACCTCTTCCATGTAGCTTGCCAATTAAACCACTCATGAGCTGCAAAGAAACTTAAGTTCTCTCGCCAACCCCCCCTTTGTTATCACCCATAAATTTGTAAGGCATCGACGCTTTCTGTTGTTGAATATCGGTGCTAATCTTGGATCCAAGTACTGGAACAAGAAAAGCGATTAGCACTCTCATACTCGAATTATTGTAGGAGGTCTGTATCAGAAGTTGAACGGGTGTGGGAGGTAGGTTGGAGGTTTTGTCAGGACTCGGTAGACTCAATCACTTCACTACTATCAAGTTGTCAGCCATAATAACAATCATGTATAGGCATGAATGAAGTAAATACTCACATAGCTAATTCTGATATATCTTCCCCAGTTTTTCGCAGAACATCTTCGATATATCGATCATTGCATTGCTGCTTAGAGAAGTGTCAATCTGTGTAAGGACGCTAAACTCGCCATCTCCACACCAAACCACCTCCAATAAACCAATTAGTCTGTATTATAGTCATCGATGATCTATATGCATGGAATTCGGCGCTTCTTAAGTACAAAGAGGCTTGGAGGCATTCCATCGGTTAAGAACGCGCAGGTCGTTCAATGGATAGGTAGTTGTAACACTGTAACATGCCGATAAGCCTTTGGACGACCGCATAGATTCGAATATAAGGATAGACCTAGTATAACTACTGCTTCTAATCTTGCCCGTCAAGCTGCTAGAGCCTTTGCTCCTCAAAACAGCGTTGCCCCCTAACCGACATGTTGACTTCTAGCTTGATATCTCCTTTTGTATTGATCGCACCAGTGATAGCCCCCTCCTAGCTCCCAAATCTTATAAAATGCTTGCTTCCTTGAGATCTAAAGGTGTTAAAATAGATATACTAAAAGTTATTCACAGTTAGTCTCTTAATATATTGTACTCTTGCCTTGTTAGCATGGTTTGATCGTATCGTGTTTCCACCCTACTTCTGGAGAAGTCTACTGAACTTGTCAATTTGTTGTAATTCTCAGGTCCTTGCCACCCTAGTCATACATCTCAAATAAAGAAAGAGCTTCTTCCCCTTTTCTTTCGCCCTTTCACCCTGTATTATATCATCCAGGATAGATTTGACGCCGGCAGTCCCAGAGAGGGCAATTCCATGTTCTGAGCCTCTGTAATGCACCTTGCACTGGTTTTTCTGCTTGAAGAATCCGGAGGCAGTGTGTGGCTAGTGGGAATAGATTGGACCAATGCGAAAGTCAGGACACAGAAGGGGAGGGTTGAGTAAGGGGTCGATATTTGATGGAAGCTTCGGTTGGAGCTGACACTGATGAAGACATTGTTGAAAGAAAAACAGAATATTCAGAAGGCCTGGTGTTTATATCGCAGATCAATGGTATCATTCAAGTCGCACCGAGACCCAAATGTTCATTCTGCGAGGGGTTTGAAGGTTTTGAGGTCCATTTTGACATTTCCCCCAAATGATGCCGTATCCGTGCTCTAGGTAAGTCGGCTTGAAAGTTAGAATTGCAGGCGACGTAGTTCTTGTGCGTTAGATTGTATGTAGACTTGGAGTGAGTGGCATGTCGAAAGTTCGAGGCAGTGCTGGAGGAGGAGGAGGAAGCTCGGGAAGCCAATTCTTTGAATCGCTGAAGTAGAAAAGCTGGAGAGAGTATGCCACAAAATAAAAATGAAAGTACGCGGCTATTTCCTATAGCTACACAGATGATTAAAGAATCTCGCCTTGGTTAAGAAAGAGTCGTTGCGGAGACAGCACCCGAAAATTCATATCCCTTCCGAGCATCCAAAGTCATATCAAATATGATAATATATGGGCAGGTTTGATTGGAAGCTTCTTCATTACAAGTTGGGATGACGATGTTTTGATTTTGTATTACCAAGAAACCGTTTAAGTTAGACATGACTGTAACGTCCCTTCACCTTAGCATAATTTTCAAGACTTTAGATTTCTGATCTACTTTCAAGTTCGCGATTTAGCTTTACGCGCAAACGTTGCAAATTATTACTACAGGCGGTCGAATGCATAGGGAGTCTGGAATACAAGGCTAAAACATCACACTAGCTCATTAGGATCATGATTTCCCTCCTCATTAGTTTACCATCTTTGCGCGCATGCTGAAAATTTGAGTCGCAAGCTCACATGTATACTGGAGCGCAGTCATAGGACATCGATAACATCGCAGGCCACAGTGTTTTGTTGCATAACGCATCTATTCGGCTACAGCTCATTGAAATCCAGCAATCTGGATGTTTAAACATATTTCTATCAACTTAATAAGTGAAATCCCTAAGCATCCCCAAAACAGTAAGATGAAGGGGTCAGTGACTTCGTTTCGTTATGTCTACGGCTATCGAGTCCCGATCTAAACTTACCACCTTGTAGGTATTCAGAAACAGTTTCCTAATCTCTGTGATCGGAACTGAACCTTTGAATATAAATGGCAACAGGGAGAATCTTATAAGCCTCTATTCCGTGCAGTGTAGCTCTATCCAAGCACAAAACTTCAATACGTTACTAGTCATCTTCGAAAGACCTCTTAGAGCAGCTTTTACCAATAGAGGTTCTCTCCTCTCTTCCACCTTTTGATCTTTTTGATCCTCGAGACTCCAGGACTAATTAAGATATTAGACGAGAACTAGCTAATTTTGTTATTAACACTTTGTAATACTAGCACACATGATGCATATGCCAGTGTTCCATAAATTTCTGTTTTCTGATGAGTCTACTTTGATATATCTGTGTCTGAATTCATTCATGGTCATTTTTCAGTGGAACATTTCTGTGAAAGGGTCAACCTCGGGTTTCGATTACCATTCTATTCTTCATAGTGAATGAGATTAAACTTGTGTGGTTGAACTAGCAACTTCAAGTCACCGCAACGTATTTACCCAACGTCTTGTGTGAATTGTCAACTACCTCTTCTTATTTCATGGACCAAGAATTCAATGTTGGCATTACTTCAAAATGTATTCAACCACCAATTACCCAATCTCAAGCCCATCACATCTATCAATGCTGAAGAATCGCATGCAACAGAGAGTGTAGCTTCTCAAGTTGCGCTAGGACTAGGAACGGCACGCAATACCCATAAAGTATGCATATTCGTCCAAATATCAAGTATCTTGCCCAACCTTCCAAGTTTTCGTTTCGCGTCATGGAATCAAAGACATCATTGGGCTTTGCGGTGCTAACAATCAAGAAATTAAGGTAGCTCACTTGAACAGCGAGCCTAGCATTGGAGAGAGCTCTAGCTACTCTGAGCAGTCTAGGATCTGCAATGAAAGAAGAAGAGAGTACTGGCAATGTGCCATGACTTCGCAGAACTTGAACTTCGCAGGACTTGAACTAGTCAGAAAAACTCTCATAAATGGCAGGCCAGAAGATATAATTAATAAACTCAATCCATAGCTGCAAGCCAAACAATTTGAACTATTATACACAAACAGGTATTTAATAAATCCTAAAAGGGTATCATCATGACACAGCTAAACCGGATACAGATACAATAGGACACGTCTCAACTTAGGCCATAATATTTGCTACACACAGTCCAGAAAGAGGCTTCAGTATACACAACAAAACAATCAAACTTCCAAGACAAAAAGCCATATTTTGTGAATCCTCAGCTCTGTATACACTTCCTACTTCGGATCATGTAGTTCGGATAAAGGGGCCGAAGTGTTCGACTTATCCGACCTCTCCCTCCAAGCGAAAAAAACAGAACTTCAACTTACATACACAATCGAATCTAAAAGTGTTAGAAGGAGCCTTCTAAAACAGACCTGAGAACTCAAAGAAGTCAAAGTTGCTGGTGCATCCAGAATATCTATCACTCGAAAGACATTGTTACTGAGGTTCCCACTCAGCAGCTGCAGGTGGACACATCTCTTTCCAGGAGTAGTGATGCAGAATATCGTCTGTACTAGCAGCCCTCCAATTCAATGACAAGATTGAGAGATAGGGAGGATTGAAAGATAGGGACGAGCAAGAGGAACAAGGAGATTGAGTTGGCTTAGACAGACATACAGTTGAAGTTGTTGAGCAATTCGTTTTGTATCTCTTTGAATTTCATCACTCAAAGGAACATCGGTGAACAATGAAGTGAGTTACTTTTCAGTGTACTGGAGATTTTAATTTATTCATTAGCTAACTTATTATTCAGTTCTAGACAACTCCTATTTTACTTCTACACGATGCAAGGCCGTTGTTTTGCGAACGTCTCTTTCTGTACCAGAAAATTATCAAAACCATCTTAGTCGAATCCGCGAAATGACTCCCTGCATATTCAAATCAAGAACGCAGAGTTTTAAGAAGCTGAGGATGTTACAAGACAATATGAGGTTGGCTATCAGCTCAGTGATATTAGCAGCAGATCCAAGACAGTTTTTCATGGAGAAGTAAGGAGCTAAGATCTCAAAGGGGAATAAGAAAGAGAAATTGCAGAAAAATTCAAAGGCAAGGTTGGATCTAGTTCTGTTGTATCTGCTCGCGAATATTGAGGTGGGATCAATATCTAGTCTGTTTCCTAGATTGTTTGGGCTTTCAGTTCACAAATTGATGTCATCCGCTATCTTTGACTGTGAAACCCGAAATCACTAGTGATGGAGTTCTAGAATATGCTTTCACTTCTCCTATCTTAAAGGACTGATATGGATGCCACCATTTTGGGGTAGTGGCTACTCATATGCACACTCGATTTACAATAACATAACATATTTGAGCTGAATGAGTAATACTACTGTTTCATGTTGTTTGAGTGCCATGAAGTGGGCATTTTAAATGATGACAAGATTAATTATATATCTAAACAGATAGAAAGTATGTATGTAGAAGTGCTTGAAAACGCAAGGTATTCCGTGATTACTGTCAGCAAGTATTATCAAGAGCCTGCAGTTCATTTGATAACATAATTTACACAATTCTCCAATCTTCATCGTCGTCTTCATCTTCATTGTCGTCGTCATCATCATCGTCTTCATCATCATCGCCGTCATCATCATCATCATCATCATCATCATCATCATCGCACTCGTCATCGCCACCATAGCCCCCACCTTCTCCATGTCCACCGTTGTTTCCTCCACCTCCGTGTCCCCCGTGTCCCCCGTTGTTTACACCTCCCCCTCCCCCACCATGGCCTCCATTATTTCCTCCACCACCACCTCCTCCGCCACCACCACCACCACCTCCGGTCCCATTGCCAAGATTCAACGTATTTACTTCGGAGCAGAACGAAGACCATAAGCTTGACCACTCCGTGTACCCCGGTTGTGTAGTTATAAGCATCCCTGCTAGGTTTGCAGACGCAAGCTGACTCACGAGAGCAGTTTGTTCTGTTGTAGTTCCAGTGAAATCATGAATTGTATAAGTCGACTTAGCTATTAAGGATTTATCCAAACTAGTCAATGAAGTTTCATTGAAGTTTGCATAAGACTCTTCGAATATGTTGATGCTATCAGCTAGAGTATAGAAGGATGCATCGACCGCAACACCGGGATTAAGATATATGTAATCTTTGCCAGCTCCTAATGATGTTTTCGCGTATGTGGTAAGTGTACTCATATACGCAAATGTTGAGTTGTTCGATGGCGACTCATCGAAGAAAATCCCGCCTATTGGAAGCTCGCTTGGTGAGTTCCACCCAACATATTTATCGATTTCTGCTTCGACTTCCAAAACATCTCGATTTCCGTAAGAGGTATAGACATAGCCAAGAGTCAGGACGTTTGCATAACTACTTAGGTTTGTGAGGCCTGCAACATAGTTGACATCTGGGTCCGTAAACGCTAAATTGGGTGCAACAATCACATGAAACTTGAGTGCTGGATTGGCGACAATCGAGGTGGTAAGTGTACTCCATGAAGTCGAATTGTATGGGTACATATAAAGTGGAAGAAATACGAAAGCTGGCAAAACCATGATGACGACGGGGATGTATCCGTTACACGGATTGCTTGAAACCAAATGAGCGAAAACGAGCGAAAACGAGCGAGAACCAGTAACACCAGAAATGCAAACTACAGAGCGTGCACCACAGCAGAGAAATATAGAAACGTTACAAGAGGAGACTTCTCCTTCACCAAAATTCACTTTCCCCATCTGGCCAAACTGTCGAAAAATACGATACTTGGCAAATGTACCATTGAAGAGTTAGCTCGCATGTACATAGTATATGCTACTGAGCTTCTCAGGCTGAATTTCTTCATTGCAATATATATGCAAGCCTTCTATGATACCTTCCAAATGTGTATGAATTGGCTTCGATTACGCGGCTGGACTCAGCGAACAGAGGTGAGAAGCTTAACATAGTCAATATTTTAGGTAGGAATGTGCAATGTTGAGGAAATGAGATGGATGTAGTGGCTGGATAAAATTGAGGGTTAAAGGGGGGAAAAGAAGTTTCCTTAGCCCTTCACTTGCAGTGGTTGGAATTCCATAGCCCTATACCCTTACATTTCTCCCATCCCTTTTCGGCCTCGACGGGAAGATATTGTATTGTTCCCTCCGACTCGTCTGCCAATGATTCCTTCTTTCATCTAAATATCGGCCAAGATTCTAATGCAGAAATGCTTACGACCTGGACTATTGCTTATTTCTCGGTCACCACCCGGAGACACATTTGTTCCCCGCGACGCTCAATCTCGATTCCAGGTTCGGAAATGAGTTCCTTCATATTTTCTGCTTAGGGGAATCACAGTTGCGACGTCTTATCATCGTCGCAATATCGATACAGTAGACAAAGATTGCAAGGCTGAATTTCTCCGAGACTACCATGTTAAAAATTCTACGACGTTACAACCCAAGTCTGCCATTACCTCTGCAGCAATTATTTGTTGCAAGACCCTATCACCCCAGCAAATATGGCTTATTTTTGGCATTTTTGTGCACTTTTGGTAGTCAAAAACCGTTTTGGTGTTATGACAGCGTCACAGCACGGCGAAAGAGCTCCTTTTGAGGCTGCTTTTCTGTCAACAGGATCAGCTAGGTATTATTCTGACATCAAAATATTGGTTGCTACTAACCATCCGACTACTTGGGATAACAGACTAGATGTACCCAGATCTTGGCATGGCATGATGCCTTTCGTTTTAGCTTAGGGTACGACACACCAAGTATCGTGTCGTGTCTACTACCCAGGAAAGCTGATCTACTGGAAATACTCAATCGCTGAAATTTCCTAACACCCTTGTCGATTTTCAACCTCTTTTCACTCATGTTTTAATTCCTCGAATTGTTCCTTTCCTCCTCCCTCTTTCCTGACAAGCACCCGTTGTCTTCTCAATCTTGTTGCATCAAAATGGCGGAAGTTTAGTGGCCGTTTGTGCAAATCTGTCATCCATCTCAATTCTTGAAGCAAGATCCTTTTATTTGACGCCACTGTTTTCCTGTTGTCTAGACTTCGGTATCTTAATTTCCATGTCCTGTACTTGTCGCCACCTTTATGTTTTTGAAGTTTGCAACAGCTCCTACGCTCTGATCAGATTTTTCAAACTTACTACACCAAGGGGTATATTTTTGTGTTGTTCTGATAATCCCGACAATAACAAGTTAAGTTACATGTGTCTTCGTGACTGTCATTGGGATAGAAATTTCCTAAGGCTCACCATCTGGGTATTCGATACCTTCTTCAAAACTACCACTGACTCGGGCATTCATTTCTTATTCTATTCCAAGCTCTACACTCTCAATGATCTCTGCTATGAACTGGAAGCCTTTAAACGTGAACAATAACCTGTCTATCAAAAGGACCACGTTGAACGGCACAATGGATGGTCCAATTCATGGTCCTCATCGCCAAAGTATTGAGATAATACTTCTCTGGCCTAGAGGAAAAGAAGGTCATCGATGTATCACATCTATCGAGGGCATATCACCTTTTCATATCCACACAGTTTGAGTTACTTAGTCGATGCTCTTCTGTTTTCTTTTTCTGAGTAGAGATGCACTAATACTCAAGTTAGATTGGTGCAATCGGCTCAATCTAATACGAGGTTTCTCGAGATTCAACTCAACTTCGCCACTGGAATTCACGAAGTATAAAAGTTTTGACTTCTCACGTCCATACAAATAGCCAAATACTAACACGCAGTTCTCTTCTATGATTTCTTGAATGATTTTGAGAGTCGATAATTCCACTGAATCAAATGTGCAACTCACGGGTCCGAAATATTGCAACTCAAAAGGTTGATTGTCCCATGCTTGCCACATTTTGATAATTTTGGTTTGTTCCTGCATTTTGACAATAGTTGGGAGGCATGAATTCTCTCGTTACATACTAGGATCATTTTATGATCACACCAAAGAATGGTTGACATAGATACTTGAGTTTCATCTAACTGCAGGTGCAGAGCAACGTTCCAATTGTCTATTTATGCCCATAGACTATTATCCCACTCATGTACGCATCGTTGTTCACATCGGGATTATGTACGTAGCCCGACACAGTTTTGAACATGCAATTGCGGGGAAGCTGAAGATTCGGATAATCTCTCGGACCTGCAGTGCTACAACGAGTCCCGTAAAACCACTTGCTGATTCGCTCAATCCATTGTTGTTTGCATATTGTATTCTTATCGTGAGCTCCCGACCTTTCCAAATAGGCATATAAGATGTCGATCAATATCTGACTATATCTATTTCAACAAAATAACCTGAAAGAAAGGTCGGCCACAAATTTTCAAGGCCATTTTTATTTCAACATTGAGCATTCTCGATACTAGACAATGACAATGTTTACCTCATCTTTGAAACACCTGCTCCTTGCTGGAATGGCGTTATACGATGTCTCTGCCATTGCTTCGGTGCTTCAGCCTACTCCCCCAATGGGTATAAAAATTCCTAATGCAGCAATTCTTATGGTAATAGCTAACTGGGTTAAGGCTTCAATAATTGGTCAGCATTTATGTGTGGGCTTAACGAATCGCTATTTGTTGAGACAGCCCAGGCAATGGTGGAGAAAGGCCTACTTGCAGCGGGTTACAATCGACTTAATCTAGATGACTGTTGGAGTCAAGGCAGTCGGGAAACGAACGGCAGTCTCTTATGGAACACCGAGAAGTTTCCACGCGGCCTTCCATGGTTGACCAGCTATTTGAAAAGCCTGGGGTTCAATTCTGGAATCTACACCGATGCTGGAATCAATTCTTGTGGTGGGTTTCCAGGTTCATATGGGTATGAGGAACTTGATGCTCGAGCTTTTGCCTCGTGGGGGTTTGATTATCTCAAGGTTGACGGCTGCAACATGCCTGTAGCAACCGAGCAAGAGTATGAGCGTGTTTACGGACATTGGCATGGCGTCTTAAGTGCATTGGAGAGCCCTCTCATATTTTCAGAGTCTGCCCCGGCATACTTTGCAGAGCAGGATAATCTAACCGATTGGTATACTGTGATGGACTGGGTTCCGAAATACGGGCAGCTTGCTCGTCACTCGCGTGATACACTCGTCTGGAACTCAACTTCATACTGGCCCGACATCACTGGATGGGATTCTATCTTATTCAACTATGGACAGGAAGTAAGATTGGCGAGATATCAGAAGCCCGGTTACTTTAACGATCCAGATTTCTTGATTGTTGATCACTTCGATTTATCGCTCAATGAAAAGAGGTCACATTTCGCTATCTGGGCCTCACTATCAGCTCCTCTTATTATCAGTGCTTATATTCCGGCATTCGGCGCAGATGAGGTTGCTTATCTCACGAATAAAGATCTAATTGCTGTAAACCAAGATCCATTGGCATTACAGGCTACACTTGTCAGCCAAGATGGTACATGGGATGTTTTGACCAAAGATCTGGCAGATGGGGACCGGCTTCTCACTGTTATCAATCGAGGTAATCTCACTGCTAGCTACAAAGTACCATTTCAAAGGATTGGTATCTCTGCATCAGCAGTCACAGTCAAAGAACTCTGGACTGGCAAAGTCTCACTCACATCTGATGTAGTCACAGCTGCCAATGTGCCTTCGCACGGTACTGCAGTATATCGTATTTCTGCTGGAAATGGGAATCTAAATGTTATACCTACTGGTATGATCTTCAACACAGCATCACTGAATATTCTTACCTACTCCCGTCAAGGTCTAGCGTGGGCAGCCTCTATCGGATCGGACGAGCAAGTATGGCAAACGGGTGAGGATGGTACTATCAAGGGAATTTTTGATACTTCTAAGTGTCTAACGGATCTTGGAGGAGGAAAGATATCACTAATTGCATGTTCTGGCAAAAATGATCAGAGATGGGAGTACTATGTTACTGGAAATCTCGTAAGCCTAAGTACTGGGTCGTGTTTGGCTGAGGCTAAGGGAAAGGTTGTGACGGCGAAATGTCAGTATGAAACCAACGGGCAAGTGTTTGGTTTGCCTAGTGGAATTGATGTTATCGGGCAATAAATGTACTGGCACTTTTGGAGAGTTTTATTTCCTAAGATCATTCATGTACTCTACCTTGTGTACTAAGAGCATATCAATATGACTCGGATAGGAAAAACAACACTTGATATGTATACAGCTATAATTTCATATGCAAGTAAGCTGCCGAAATAGTTTCTCTTATCGTTTTTTATTACAAGATTATTTTCTCTGCATTTATCAATCGTAAAATAACACATTCAGCTTCTCTTTCAGCTTGAGAAATACGAGAATGTGCATGCGCAAAATTAGCAACTTCTGCTTCTGCTACGTTACAACACAATACCCCGCCAAAAACAGCCCCGCATCAAAATGTTGGACCGACGGATGTTCAACTCCGATATTATCCCGTCATATCCCAACTTTCAGTATCATCACCTGATATGGCATATTCATCACTTAAAAACATATAACACTTTGCTTGTCCCTGAACCTACATGCCTCTTTCTGAACAATAATATCAAGCAAAATGCCGGAACAAAGGTCAAAACTCCTTGAATCTCTCGAGCAAGATGGCTTCGTTCTCATCCCCTCTCTTCTGAGTCAAGCAGAGATTGATTCTCTCCGTATCGAAGCGAAAAAAACTGTCGACCTTGCTCGCTCTGGCTCATGGCCATACGTTCGAACACTTCCCAAGCAATTTCCACCTTGGAACGTAGGAGAAGGAGAGTCACCTGCGAAAGATGGTATCTGGGGTGTTCAATCACTCATGAATCCCAAACTTGCAACTTCATCTTCATTTATCAAGATCTACTTCTCGGATAAGATGTTGGGTGTAGTGAAAGAGCTTTTGCAATGTGAGGACGAAGATTTAGTCATGGAACTATTTAATTTATTGATTCGTCCTGATCGCGACTTCGAGCTTCGTTGGCACCGAGATGATATCCCATCTTCTGCTACGGCTGAAGCGAACTCGCAAGACTAGCGGAGCCTGCATGGCATGCGCAATGGAATATGGCATTGTATGATGATTCTTCATTGATTGTGGTTCCCAAGTCTCACAAGAGGGCGAGGACAGCCGCAGAGAGAGATATGAGTGAATATGAGACAGGAGTACAGGGCGAGATCAGGGTAGAGATGAAAGCAGGAGATGTGGTGTTTTATGACAACAACATTTTGCATAGAGGAGGAAAGTATGAGAGTGGTAGGAAGGGCAACCACTACACGGGAGTGTAGGTCATCGGAATGGCAAGGGAGTGAGAGCCAGGAACGTACTACAACATGGATTGAGGGAGGTGAGTTGAAAACATTCTACCCTTTGAAGTGAATAGCTATTAAGCGACACTGCTGACATCATTGATAAATTCCAGTGGGTTTGGTGATATTGATCTTAGTGTACTCACTGAAGAAGAGAAAAAGAGAGCGGAGGGAATGAGGAAGAGATTATTGGGCATGGCTGAAGAGAGTGGTGAAGTGGGCTATTCATTAGATGGATGAGGTTGAATAATGAATTAGAATCGATGACAGGCGACAGGCATTCTGTAACAGGCATTGGAAGGCTAAATATCTTTAGATCTTAGTGAATTCTTTATTGGCAGTTTCCTTCACCATGGAAATACTGTTGGATCAAGATAAGTTGGGTAGTGAACTATAGTTACTAGAACTTTCCAAGAAACTATGTTATCCGTATTCTGTCGTTGCAACTTGGTAAAGTTTACTGGAGCCCTATACCGCTCGCTTGCCGTAGTTTCCCGAGGCGTTTATTTCCTCATAAGTGAATCGTCAGTCTTAAATCAGTCCCTTTCTTTAGCTATCAACACTCTAATATCGACTGCTTTCTCCGCAGAAACTCCCCGTATTCATAAATATCTACAAGTCGCCAAATTTCACCAAAACATCTCTCCATATTCAAACACTTGGCAGAGTTCGAAAGTAAATCAATCGCGACCTCAGTCTTTTCTCATACATATCCCAAAACAGGAATCCAACAGAAGTCCACAAAAGTGGGTAAGCTATCATCTGAACCACTTAGTACAAGAAATTGTCACTGACAAACAACAGTGGATTGCATGAGCTTTGCTATTTCTTCCTTTCCCAGATTTTCGCTACGGAAATCATGGATCGACAAGCAAGAATCAATGAAGCCAAGCAGGAAGTCGACGCCATGTTCGAAGGCTTAGATGACAGCGATGCGGCTGACATAGTTGAGATCTGCCAGAATGCAATCGATACTATCGAGATGAGACGTGCAAAGAAACTCAGAGTCTTTGATGAATTCTACAAGCCCCTGTCTGTCAGCGATACCGATGAAAACAGCTCTGTTGAAACCACACAAAAAATCACCCACAAGTACTTTCAGCTTTACCAGGCACTCCCCGCGTTGGAGAAATTGCGAGATTTGGGGAAGAATTCTTTGTCACTCTGTTCAAAAACTTCTCACTAACTTGGAACAGATCAGGCAAGAAAAAACACAAGAATGAGTTGAACTTTCAAGTAATGATTGCTGAACGAAAGGAACATCTCGAAGACTTGAAGAACGAAAAGCAGATCTAGGACATCATAAACTATTTGGAGCAGAACTGGAAATTGATAACAATTGTACTGGAGTCTATTTCTCTGGACATGTTGAAGGGGCCTCCACTAGCTCCGAAAATGCAGTAAAAAAAGAAGTAGGATTCTCCCTGTAGGAACATATGGTCCATGATTAGGTGATTTAAAGTTGATGGGGCTGGGCACGAGGAGAAACCCCGAGCAAGCACTATGCTCAAACTAAAGCATTGATTGTTCTCAATAGGCACCGAATAAGGATAAATCAGAGGGGCTAGTTCTGAATAAGACAAGAAAAGAACTATTACCATCAATGTCCCATATCGCTATGCGTATGACGCTGAATTTGATTAAATTGTAGTGAAGTGATGTCATGGAAGCTGTAGATGATTTGGGCTGATGATTTAAAGAGCCATTTCAAAGATGGGATATCATAATCTATGGAAGATCTGTGTTATTATAGCGTAAACCCCGTAAACATCAGATTTGTCTTCATTGCACCTGAAGTGATATGCTTGGCTTTGGTAAAATGCGTATTGTCAATTCTGCGAAGGCCAATTAGACAAGAAGTGATGAGTGTCTCCCGAGTAGTCAAGATATGGTAGAAACAACCAAAGTAACCCACTATGGAGTTCAATTATTCACGTTTACGGAACGACAGCTTATTCTTCTCTTCTTGTCGAAAAGCACTCTAAGATACTGCGTCGCAGTCTCATCTCAGGTCTGGTGCTATTAATTCATACACAAGTGGTATTGATATACAAACGAATAAGGAAGATTCAAGATATAGAGCATGATAGACTCTGAATTTCAGTTTCCATTCATTAGGAGACAAGTTTTTCCTAGAGGAATTGTTTAGACCGACAGAAACTTTGACACTTAGATGGAGAAGAAGCACATGAAAAGGTCTTCGTCTTATTTTCTGTGTGAGCAGTCAAGTGCTTGGCTAGAGCCCGGAAAACGGCTTCGTTGATCAAGATTGAGCAATGGTAGTTTTCGATAAATGTACTTACTCTCTCCATTTCCTTTCAGAGTCTTCAACCGACAGTATCCGAAAGATCAAGGCAGAGTGAAGATGCTAAGGGCATGTACTGCCAGTGATCTAGAGCCAACACTCTTCACCTTTCTCATAGGAAGAGTGAAGGCAAGAATGGGAGCGCTGAAAGGCCTTCTGCATTACATCAACACAAAATTGTTGGAATGTTTATGCCACTTCTGGAAACCACTTTCGAGCATTTGGTGCGCATGATGTTTGCAAGTCACAAGTCGTTTCAATATGTGTTATAAAAACATGAAAGGGGAACTGAAAGCCCTTGAAATGAAAGAAGCGGGAGAACAACATCAGCTAATGCTAGGTGTATGGGGATTGCTCAATGAGGAATAGAAGAGCAAGTCTACTATCTAGCAGGTTCTAGATTTGTACATGATCCATATCAATCTCAAGAGACCGTCTTTATCTTCCTCTACTGTACAAGCAGGGACTGGAAGCGCAGAACACTATCTTCCTTATCTTTTGTGCTCCCCATACCATCTCGCAAGCAGAAATGCTTTGCTCTCCAGATCTTCACCACTCTTATCTTCCTGCGTTTCTGGTCCAATTATATAACCATAAAAGGGACTGACTGAGCCTCATTGTCTAAAAATGGACACCGGAGATATTAAATATCCGTTGAAGCTACTTTTCAAAGGAGCCTCTTGATCCTCAGAGAGGAAACAGAATCTTCCAGACGCCAAATCCGTGGTCGAAGATTACCTTCCTATCCTATCAATTTAGTTCGTTTTCTATTCTGAACTCAGGACATCGTTCCTCCCATTTATTCCCTGTCTAGCTATGCTGCTGTGCCTCTGACCTGGCTCAAGATCCAACCAAAATAAGCCAAAAGTGAAGGATAAAAGTTGCTAACTCGAGTTTACAGATCCTGCAATTTCCTATGGGGGCCAGAACCTTCGTGTGTTGTAGCCAGAAATTGTCTACATGATGGGATCAGCACCGAACACACCAGTTGGTTTTGAAGATACGGTCCAAATGTCTAGAAGAGTACGCCGAGTTAGCCCAGAATCGGTTCCGAGATCCCACTTTACTTGCACCGGTACCTTTAATCAACTGTCAAAATTGTGACAGATCGGCAGTTCAAACACAGTCAGCTTATATTCGGACTTTCATGGTCGATGCCGGATATGCAGAACAAACTATCCGCATGTACTAATACTCATGTAAAAGAACAACAGTTGGAATCTGTAGAGTTGACATCTATCCCCTAAGGTGCCAACTACGGGGCCGGGAAATGTGGCCCGTGCATAAGTAAGAAACATCAACAGCTTTACAAATTATATCGGATATAAAACTATATAATTGAAATTTAAGATTAAAACTTATTAATGTAGTAATAATTAGAAAGTTTAATTATAAATTTTGTGTATTTCATTTCAAGAATAAATTTGGTGGAGTTTTTTAAATCCTATTATATTTCATTACAAAAATAAACACAATTTTCGATTTCAAGAACTCTCAGATCACAATACTTTGATTGGCTGATAAGGAATTATAGCGAACCCGGCCGTAGCTGGCACCCTTAGGGGATAGATTTCTGATAACAGTTGGTGGTCTGCGATCATTAATCAAAGGTTGACGCGTCAAAAGAAATAACGGATCAGGGGGCAACAGAGATCTCTGCATCAACCATATCAATTGAGCCTCAGACATTGAATATATGTAAGATAAATCATTTACTACACACCAATATTCCAATTACGGGCGAATGCAATGGCAGGCTACGTGTGAATTACGCATCTTCATCACACCATACCACACACACCCAATATGTTAAATCTTTTGCCGCTTAGAGGAGCAGAGGCCTCATTTGCGAGATTGAATGATTTGGAATGCGACAAGGAACGAATCCCATCCAAAATACTTAGCTGATATACCATGGTATGCACATGCGACCTAAGCTGGCTCGAGGCTGGACACCCCGCACGCCCGCAATTGCAAATTGAGCAAACCAAGCAAGTATGAAAATTATGGGAACTCAATACTTCGCATGCACGATGATCACTACTCAGGCCGAGAACCACGGAGCCGTCCTGTCAAAATCTTTTGGTCCGCCAGTGTGAAGATCTTTACTTCAATAGTGTCCGATAAAAGACACCAAATGTCTTGCACGTATGCACTGCGCCCTTCCAATCCAAGCCATGCCTTGACTTACCTGAATGCTGGGTAGATTTCAATCATTTGACCAACGGGGCATACGAACATGCCATACGTATGTGCCTCGAATCGGATTACGGAAAAAGCTCCTTAAAGCCGGGGAAAGGAGAAAAGGTATAATATTGACCCGAGCCCGACCGATCGCGAGCTAGATGTGTGATGATATCTCTCCCATTTGATTGGCACTGAGAAGGCGCATTTGACGAGTTTGAAGATTGATGGGAGCCTAGTATGATTCACAAACAAGGTGTTTCGTTCGCACGAATAATTATCCACTAGCCTTTTACATATATGCATCGACATGGCAATTTGGGCTTGCCGAAACATCGGGTCGAATTGATCATTGGTAGAATTGTCTCAATAAAACCTTTCCCGCTCGGATGTAGACTAACCTGCTTGTTCATGGGGAATAAATTGGCAATCCAAGTTGTGAAGAGAAATGTCATTTGATGTGCTTTAGATATTGGTAGGCTTGGTAAAATGGGTAAATGTGCTGCAGGGATTGAACATTGGTACTTGGCATTGGTGGAGATATCCAGGAAAGGAGTTATCTCGAATCTCGATGTTAAGGAATATTTGGAAGATTTACCGCGGAAACTTATACATTCTTCTAATTGTCTTGACTCGAGCTTGTGCTTCGGATCCGAGTCTCAATCGGAAATCCGCAAAGAGATAGAGGTATAGATAGAGGGGAGCTCGGTTACAGACTGAGCTCCCTAAGTCCCCTCATTCCAATGGGGTTTTTCGTGCGTCTAACTCGAACGAAACCCCATTAAAGGGCGAGTATCCACTACATTTATTTTAACTGCTTTTTCCACTTTCCTCTATTTCACATGTACGTGAAAGGTCACAGACTCACAGGAAGCGAATGCGCAGCCGTTTCGCAATGCTGTATGGTCCAGAATTTAATTGACTTCATAGTGTGTAAAGAAATCCCTTCCCCTCGTTTATTAAAGCCTCATTTGCGAGATACGACTTACCGAATTGGGAGCGTATTCAAGCTATCTATCCATCCATCTATCTATCTATGCTATGCAGGGCTCTGGCAGGGATGTTGTGAAACTGGCCCCAAGTGAAATTCTGCAACCACATGGCTTGCCTGTCTTTCACATGGTATTTTCAGCGATGGAGATAAGATGTTGTGTACATTGTAACCCCCGTAGTTGACGGAGAAATACCCTCAACCTTCAACCTACGGAGTATGAAGCATACCGTAAGTAGGCTGCCGGGGGGGAAATAAATGCGAAATTCGGTGAAGAAGAATTCAATAATTGGAGAACCAGTTCCCCAATCGTTGATTTCGAGCGAGCGACCAAGACGGGCCATCCAATGTATTGCCGATATCATTCATGCGGCAAGACTCCTCCGCACGAGGAAAAGGGAACTCCGTTGCCTGTATTCCGCATCTGTTCAAAAGGAATAAACACTAATACATCCGTCAGTTCCATACTCCACAATGTAGACGGATCAACCGTAAATTGTCAATTCCTTCGTCTGTTTCATTGCGGCGCATAAAGTCGCTATGTAACCTACATATGTGAACCATCACGAGTCAATATCGCAATATAATATGGAAACGGAGGACGGACGCTGAATCGCTGATTAATAAGTTCCGTTCGAGCCCTAGAAAATCGCCAAACGATCCACTCTCCCCACTGTGACTCCTATCATTGTCTGCTGCCGCAACGGATATTCCCACGATGAGTGAATTTCGGGATACATAGGGTCCTATAGTACGTACTTTGTACTATGGAGTGGAGTTTTACCGAAGGTGGAATTCCATGCCTAACTTCCCCGG